GTAATGACTTCTACTTGTAGAAAAAATTTCAGGCCAATCTGATGTTTGTTGTTTGAGATAGAGTGATTTCCCCGTTTTACGTTTGTTGTGGAATAATTATACTTTTTTGTGTAATAAACCTATCACTATTTTTTTTTAAATTAACGGCACATCTCATCAAGCTGAAATTTTCACAGAAGGCAGTTGGTAATGACTTCTACTTGTAGAAAAAATTTCAGGCCAATCTGATGTTTGTTGTTTGAGATAGAGTGATTTCCCCGTTTTACGTTTGTTGTGGAATAATTAAACTTTTTTTGTTTAATAAACTTATCACTATTTTTTAAAAATTAACGGCACAACTTATCAAGCTGAAATTTTTAGAGAAGGCAGTTGGTAATGACATCTACTTGTAGAAAAAATTTCAGGCCAATCTGACGGTTGGGGTTAGAGATAGAGTGATTTCCCCGGTTTACTTTTGTTGTGGAAAAAATTAATTGAAGATTTTTAACAAAAGAAAAGCAGTCTTCATATAGGACATTAAAAAGCATCTCGGATTGTTGGTTGTTCTTAGTAACGTTCAACCTGCTTGCAAACGGGGTGATTGGGTTTAGAATCGAAAAAAAAATCGGCGTAGAAACTACCTTATTAAAAAGGGGAAGCCTGGCTCAAAGTTTCCCCATGAGACACGGCAATGAGTCTTAATACCTGAAATCTGATGTCTGTGTTAGGGAATCCGAACTTTTTTTTTTTTTTTTTTTTTTTGCGCTTTGTAGTGACTACTCCATAATGGTTGAGTTTGCAATAATTTCTACTTGTAGAAACAATTTCAGGCCAATCTGAAGGTTGGGGTTAGAGATAGAGCGATTTGCCTGTTTTACTGTTGTGTAATAAATCTATTACGATTTTTTTTTTATTAACGGCACAACAAATCAAGCTGAAATTTTCACAGAAGGCAGTTGGTAGTGACCTCTACTTGTAGAAAAAATTTCAGGCCAATCTGATGTTTGTTGTTTGAGATAGAGTGATTTCCCCGTTTTACGTTTGTTGTGGAATAATTATACTTTTTTGTGTAATAAACCGATCACTATTTTTTTAAAAATTACCGGCACAACTCATCAAGCTGAAATTTTCTCTGAAGGCAGATGGTAATGACTTCTACTTGTAGAAAAAATTTCAGGCCAATCTGATGTTTGTTGTTTGAGATAGAGTGATTTCCCCGTTTTACGTTTGTTGTGGAATAATTATACTTTTTTGTGTAATAAACCTATCACTATTTTTTTTAAATTAACGGCACAACTCATCAAGCTGAAATTTTCTCTGAAGGCAGATGGTAATGACTTCTACTTGTAGAAAAAATTTCAGGCCAATCTGATGTTTGTTGTTTGAGATAGAGTGATTTCCCCGTTTTACGTTTGTTGTGGAATAATTATACTTTTTTGTGTAATAAACCTATCACTATTTTTTTTTAAATTAACGGCACAACTCATCAGGCTGAAATTTTCACAGAAGGCAGTTGGTAGTGACCTCTACTTGTAGAAAAAATTTCAGGACAATCTAATGCTTGTTGTTTGAGATAGAGTGATTTCCCCGTTTAACGTTTATTGTGGAATAATTATACTTTTTAGTGTAATACACCTATCACTATTTTTTTTAAATTAACGGCACAACTCATCAAGCTGAAATTTTCGCAGAAGACAGTTGGTAATGACTTCTACTTGTAGAAAAAATTTCAGGCCAATCTGATGTTTGTTGTTTGAGATAGAGTGATTTCCCCGTTTTACGTTTGTTGTGGAATAATTATACTTTTTGGTGTAATAAACCTATCACTATTTTTTTAAAATTAACGGCACATCTCATCAAGCTGAAATTTTCACAGAAGGCAGTTGGTAATGACTTCTACTTGTAGAAAAAATTTCAGGCCAATCTGATGTTTGTTGTTTGAGATAGAGTGATTTCCCCGTTTTACGTTTGTTGTGGAATAATTATACTTTTTTGTGTAATAAACCTATCACTATTTTTTAAAAATTAACGGCACAACTCATCAAGCTGAAATTTTCTCTGAAGGCCGATGGTAATGACTTCTACTTGTAGAAAAAATTTCAGGCCAATCTGATGTTTGTTCTTTGAGATAGAGTGAATTCCCCGTTTTACGTTTGTTGTGGAATAGTTATACTTTTTTGTGTAATAAACCTATCACTATTTTTTTTAAATTAACGGCGCAACTCATCAAGCTGAAATTTTCTCTGAAGGCAGATGGTAATTACTTCTACTTGTAGAAAAAATTTCAGGCCAATCTGACGGTTGGGGTTAGAGATAGAGTGATTTCCCCGGTTTACTTTTGTTGTGGAAAAAATTAATTGAAGATTTTTAACAAAAGAAAAGCAGTCTTCATATAGGACATTAAAAACCATCTCGGATTGTTGGTTGTTCTTAGTAACGTTCAACCTGCTTGCAAACGGGGTGATTGGGTTTAGAATCGAAAAAAAAATCGGCGTAGAAACTACCTTATTAAAAAGGGGAAGCCTGGCTCAAAGTTTCCCCATGAGACACGGCAATGAGTCTTAATACCTGAAATCTGATGTCTGTGTTAGGGAATCCGAACTTTTTTTTTTTTTTTTTTTTTTTTGCGCTTTGTAGTGACTACTCCATAATGGTTGAGTTTGCAATAATTTCTACTTATAGAAACAATTTCAGGCCAATCTGAAGGTTGGGGTTAGAGATAGAGCGATTTGCCTGTTTTACTGTTGTGTAATAAATCTATTACGATTTTTTTTTATTAACGGCACAACAAATCAAGCTGAAATTTTCACAGAAGGCAGTTGGTAGTGACCTCTACTTGTAGAAAAAATTTCAGGCCAATCTGATGTTTGTTGTTTGAGATAGAGTGATTTCCCCGTTTTACGTTTGTTGTGGAATAATTATACTTTTTTGTGTAATAAACCGATCACTATTTTTTTTTAAATTAACGGCACAACTCATCAAGCTGAAATTTTCTCTGAAGGCAGATGGTAATGACTTCTACTTGTAGAAAAAATTTCAGGCCAATCTGATGTTTGTTGTTTGAGATAGAGTGATTTCTCCGTTTTACGTTTGTTGTGGAATAATTATACTTTTTTGTGTAATAAACCTATCACTATTTCTTAAAAATTAACGGCACAACTCATCAAGCTGAAATTTTCACAGAAGGCAGTTGGTAATGACTTCTACTTGTAGAAAAAATTTCAGGCCAATCTGATGTTTGTTGTTTGAGATAGAGTGATTTCCCCGTTTTACGTTTGTTGTGGAATAATTATACTTTTTGGTGTAATAAACCTATCACTATTTTTTAGAAATTAACGGCACAACTTATCAAGCTGAAATTTTTATAGAAGGCAGATGGTAATGACATCTACTTGTAGAAAAAATTTCAGGCCAATCTGACGGTTGGGGTTAGAGATAGAGTGATTTCCCCGGTTTACGTTTGTTGTGGAATAATTATACTTTTTTGTGTAATAAACCTATAACTATTTCTTAAAAATTAACGGCACAACTCATCAAGCTGAAATTTTCACAGAAGGCAGTTGGTAATGACTTCTACTTGTAGAAAAAATTTCAGGACAATCTAATGCTTGTTGTTTGAGATAGAGTGATTTCCCCGTTTAACGTTTATTGTGGAATAATTATACTTTTTTGTGTAATAAACCTATCACTATTTTTTTTTAAATTAACGGCACAACTCATCAGGCTGAAATTTTCACAGAAGGCAGTTGGTAGTGACCTCTACTTGTAGAAAAAATTTCAGGACAATCTAATGCTTGTTGTTTGAGATAGAGTGATTTCCCCGTTTAACGTTTATTGTGGAATAATTATACTTTTTAGTGTAATACACCTATCACTATTTCTTAAAAATTAACGGCACAACTCATCAAGCTGAAATTTTCACAGAAGGCAGATGGTAATGACTTCTACTTGTAGAAAAAATTTCAGGCCAATCTGATGTTTGTTGTTTGAGATAGAGTGATTTCTCCGTTTTACGTTTGTTGTGGAATAATTATACTTTTTTGTGTAATAAACCTATAACTATTTCTTAAAAATTAACGGCACAACTCATCAAGCTGAAATTTTCACAGAAGGCAGTTGGTAATGACTTCTACTTGTAGAAAAAATTTCAGGCCAATCTGATGTTTGTTGTTTGAGATAGAGTGATTTCCCCGTTTTACGTTTGTTGTGGAATAATTATACTTTTTTGTGTAATAAACCTATCATTATTTTTTAAAAATTAACGGCACAACTCATCAAGCTGAAATTTTCTCTGAAGGCAGATGGTAATGACTTCTACTTGTAGAAAAAATTTCAGGCCAATCTGATGTTTGTTGTTTGAGATAGAGTGATTTCCCCGTTTTACGTTTGTTGTGGAATAATTATACTTTTTTGTGTAATAAACCTATCACTATTTTTTAAAAACTAACGGCACAACTCATCAAGCTGAAATTTTCACAGCAGGCAGTTGGTAATGACTTCTACTTGTAGAAAAAATTTCAGGCCAATCTGATGTTTGTTGTTTGAGATAGAGTGATTTCCCCGTTTTACGTTTGTTGTGGAATAATTATACTTTTTTGTGTAATAAACCTATCACTATTTTTTTTTAAATTAACGGCACATCTCATCAAGCTGAAATTTTCACAGAAGGCAGTTGGTAATGACTTCTACTTGTAGAAAAAATTTCAGGCCAATCTGATGTTTGTTGTTTGAGATAGAGTGATTTCCCCGTTTTACGTTTGTTGTGGAAAAAATTAATTGAAGATTTTTAACAAAAGAAAAGCAGTCTTCATATAGGACATTAAAAACCATCTCGGATTGTTGGTTGTTCTTAGTAACGTTCAACCTGCTTGCAAACGGGGTGATTGGGTTTAGAATCGAAAAAAAAATCGGCGTAGAAACTACCTTATTAAAAAGGGGAAGCCTGGCTCAAAGTTTCCCCATGAGACACGGCAATGAGTCTTAACACCTGCAATCTGATGTCTGTGTTAGGGAATCCGAACTTTTTTTTTTTTTTTTTTTTTTTTTTTTTTTTTTTTTTTTTTTTTTTTTTTTTTTTGTTTTTTTTTTTTGCGCTTTGTAGTGACTACTCCAGAATGGTTGAGTTTGCAATAATTTCTACTTGTAGAAACAATTTCAGGCCAATCTGAAGGTTGGGGTTAGAGATAGAGCGATTTGCCTGTTTTACTGTTGTGTAATAAATCTATTACGATTTTGTTTTTTATTAACGGCACAACAAATCAAGCTGAAATTTTCACAGAAGGCAGTTGGTAGTGACCTCTACTTGTAGAAAAAATTTCAGGCCAATCTGATGTTTGTTGTTTGAGATAGAGTGAATTCCTCGTTTTACGTTTGTTGTGGAATAATTATACTTTTTTGTGTAATAAACCTATCACTATTTTTTTAAAATTAACGGCACAACTCATCAAGCTGAAATTTTCACAGATGGCAGTTGGTAATGACTTCTACTTGTAGAAAAAATTTCAGGCCAATCTGATGTTTGTTGTTTGAGATAGAGTGATTTCCCCGTTTTACGTTTGTTGTGGAATAATTATACTTTTTTGTGTAATAAACCTATCACTATTTTTTTTAAATTAACGGCACAACTCATCAAGCTGACATTTTCTCTGAAGGCAGATGGTAATGACTTCTACTTGTAGAAAAAATTTCAGGCCAATCTGATGTTTGTTTTTTGAGATAGAGTGATTTCCCCGTTTTACGTTTGTTGTGGAATAATTATACTTTTTTGTGTAATAAACCTATCACTATTTTTTTTAAATTAACGGCACAACTCATCAAGCTGAAATTTTCTCTGAAGGCAGATGGTAATGACTTCTACTTGTAGAAAAAATTTCAGGCCAATCTGATGTTTGTTTTTTGAGATAGAGTGATTTTCCCGTTTTACGTTTGTTGTGGAATAATTATACTTTTTTGTGTAATAAACCTATCACTATTTTTTAAAAATTAACGGCACAACTCATCAAGCTGAAATTTTCACAGAAGGCAGTTGGTAGTGACCTCTACTTGTAGAAAAAATTTCAGGACAATCTAATGCTTGTTGTTTGAGATAGAGTGATTTCCCCGTTTAACGTTTATTGTGGAATAATTATACTTTTTAGTGTAATACACCTATCACTATTTTTTTTAAATTAACGGCACAACTCATCAAGTTGAAATTTTCGCAGAAGACAGTTGGTAATGACTTCTACTTGTAGAAAAAATTTCAGGCCAATCTGATGTTTGTTGTTTGAGATAGAGTGATTTCCCCGTTTTACGTTTGTTGTGGAATAATTATACTTCTTGGTGTAATAAACCTATCACTATTTTTTTAAATTAACGGCACATGTCATCAAGTTGAAATTTTCTCTGAAGGCAGATGGTAATGACTTCTACTTGTAGAAAAAATTTCAGGCCAATCTGATGTTTGTTGTTTGAGATAGAGTGATTTCCCCGTTTTACGTTTGTTGTGGAATAATTATACTTTTTTGTGTAATAAACCTATCACTATTTCTTAAAAATTAACGGCACAACTCATCAAGCTGAAATTTTCACAGAAGGCAGTTGGTAATGACTTCTACTTGTAGAAAAAATTTCAGGCCAATCTGATGTTTGTTGTTTGAGATAGAGTGATTTCCCCGTTTTACGTTTGTTGTGGAATAATTATACTTTTTTGTGTAATAAACCTATCACTATTTTTTAAAAATTAACGGCACATCTCATCAAGTTGAAATTTTCTCTGAAGGCAGATGGTAATGACTTCTACTTGTAGAAAAAATTTCAGGCCAATCTGATGTTTGTTGTTTGAGATAGAGTGATTTCCCCGTTTTACGTTTGTTGTGGAATAATTATACTTTTTTGTGTAATAAACTTATAACTATTTCTTAAAAATTAACGGCACAACTCATCAAGCTGAAATTTTCACAGAAGGCAGTTGGTAATGACTTCTACTTGTAGAAAAAATTTCAGGCCAATCTGATGTTTGTTGTTTGAGATAGAGTGATTTCCCCGTTTTACGTTTGTTGTGGAATAATTATACTTTTTTGTGTAATAAACCTATCACTATTTCTTAAAAATTAACGGCACATCTCATCAAGTTGAAATTTTCTCTGAAGGCAGATGGTAATGACTTCTACTTGTAGAAAAATTTCAGGCCAATCTGATGTTTGTTGTTTGAGATAGAGTGATTTCCCCGTTTTACGTTTGTTGTGGAATAATTAAACTTTTTTTGTTTAATAAACTTATCACTATTTTTTTTAAAATTAACGGCACAACTTATCAAGCTGAAATTTTTATAGAAGGCAGTTGGTAATGACATCTACTTGTAGAAAAAATTTCAGGCCAATCTGACGGTTGGGGTTAGAGATAGAGTGATTTCCCCGGTTTACTTTTGTTGTGGAAAAAATTAATTGAAGATTTTTAACAAAAGAAAAGCAGTCTTCATATAGGACATTAAAAACCATCTCGGATTGTTGGTTGTTCTTAGTAACGTTCAACCTGCTTGCAAACGGGGTGATTGGGTTTAGAATCGAAAAAAAAATCGGCGTAGAAACTACCTTATTAAAAAGGGGAAGCCTGGCTCAAAGTTTCCCCATGAGACACGGCAATGAGTCTTAACACCTGCAATCTGATGTCTGTGTTAGGGAATCCGAACTTTTTTTTTTTTTTTTTTTTTTTTTTGCGCTTTGTAGTGACTACTCCATAATGGTTGAGTTTGCAATAATTTCTACTTATAGAAACAATTTCAGGCCAATCTGAAGGTTGGGGTTAGAGATAGAGCGATTTGCCTGTTTTACTGTTGTGTAATAAATCTATTACGATTTTTTTTTATTAACGGCACAACAAATCAAGCTGAAATTTTCACAGAAGGCAGTTGGTAGTGACCTCTACTTGTAGAAAAAATTTCAGGCCAATCTGATGTTTGTTGTTTGAGATAGAGTGATTTCCCCGTTTTACGTTTGTTGTGGAATAATTATACTTTTTTGTGTAATAAACCGATCACTATTTTTTTTTAAATTAACGGCACAACTCATCAAGCTGAAATTTTCTCTGAAGGCAGATGGTAATGACTTCTACTTGTAGAAAAAATTTCAGGCCAATCTGATGTTTGTTGTTTGAGATAGAGTGATTTCTCCGTTTTACGTTTGTTGTGGAATAATTATACTTTTTTGTGTAATAAACCTATCACTTTTTCTTAAAAATTAACGGCAAAACTCATCAAACTGAAATTTTCACAGAAGGCAGTTGGTAATGACTTCTACTTGTAGAAAAAATTTCAGGCCAATCTGATGTTTGTTGTTTGAGATAGAGTGATTTTCCCGTTTTACGTTTGTTGTGGAATAATTATACTTTTTTGTGTAATAAACCTATCACTATTTCTTAAAAATTAACGGCACAACTCATCAAGCTGAAATTTTCACAGAAGGCAGTTGGTAATGACTTCTACTTGTAGAAAAAATTTCAGGCCAATCTGATGTTTGTTGTTTGAGATAGAGTGATTTCCCCGTTTTACGTTTGTTGTGGAATAATTATACTTTTTGGTGTAATAAACCTATCACTATTTTTTAAAAATTAACGGCACAACTTATCAAGCTGAAATTTTTATAGAAGGCAGTTGGTAATGACATCTACTTGTAGAAAAAATTTCAGGCCAATCTGACGGTTGGGGTTAGAGATAGAGTGATTTCCCCGGTTTACGTTTGTTGTGGAATAATTATACTTTTTTGTGTAATAAACCTATAACTATTTCTTAAAAATTAACGGCACAACTCATCAAGCTGAAATTTTCACAGAAGGCAGTTGGTAATGACTTCTACTTGTAGAAAAAATTTCAGGCCAATCTGATGTTTGTTGTTTGAGATAGAGTGATTTCCCCGTTTTACGTTTGTTGTGGAATAATTATACTTTTTTGTGTAATAAACCTATCACTATTTTTTAAAAATTAACGGCACAACTCATCAAGCTGAAATTTTCTCTGAAGGCAGATGGTAATGACTTCTACTTGTAGAAAAAATTTCAGGCCAATCTGATGTTTGTTGTTTGAGATAGAGTGATTTCCCCGTTTTACGTTTGTTGTGGAATAATTATACTTTTTTGTGTAATAAACCTATCACTATTTTTTAAAAACTAACGGCACAACTCATCAAGCTGAAATTTTCACAGCAGGCAGTTGGTAATGACTTCTACTTGTAGAAAAAATTTCAGGCCAATCTGATGTTTGTTGTTTGAGATAGAGTGATTTCCCCGTTTTACGTTTGTTGTGGAATAATTATACTTTTTTGTGTAATAAACCTATCACTATTTTTTTTTAAATTAACGGCACATCTCATCAAGCTGAAATTTTCACAGAAGGCAGTTGGTAATGACTTCTACTTGTAGAAAAAATTTCAGGCCAATCTGATGTTTGTTGTTTGAGATAGAGTGATTTCCCCGTTTTACGTTTGTTGTGGAATAATTAAACTTTTTTTGTTTAATAAACTTATCACTATTTTTTAAAAATTAACGGCACAACTTATCAAGCTGAAATTTTTAGAGAAGGCAGTTGGTAATGACATCTACTTGTAGAAAAAATTTCAGGCCAATCTGACGGTTGGGGTTAGAGATAGAGTGATTTCCCCGGTTTACTTTTGTTGTGGAAAAAATTAATTGAAGATTTTTAACAAAAGAAAAGCAGTCTTCATATAGGACATTAAAAAGCATCTCGGATTGTTGGTTGTTCTTAGTAACGTTCAACCTGCTTGCAAACGGGGTGATTGGGTTTAGAATCGAAAAAAAAATCGGCGTAGAAACTACCTTATTAAAAAGGGGAAGCCTGGCTCAAAGTTTCCCCATGAGACACGGCAATGAGTGTTAATACCTGAAATCTGATGTCTGTGTTAGGGAATCCGAACTTTTTTTTTTTTTTTTTTTTTTTTGCGCTTTGTAGTGACTACTCCATAATGGTTGAGTTTGCAATAATTTCTACTTGTAGAAACAATTTCAGGCCAATCTGAAGGTTGGGGTTAGAGATAGAGCGATTTGCCTGTTTTACTGTTGTGTAATAAATCTATTACGATTTTTTTTTTATTAACGGCACAAC